GGTACATGACCCTATAGCTATGGAGGCCTGCCCTAACCCCTCTTAATTCTTATGCTTTCTCTCTTTTAGTTATTTCCTATTTATCCTCTATATAACTTATTTGGTATATATTTCTTTGCATTTTGTCTCCCCCATTACATTGTAAGTTCTTTCAGAGCAGAGACAAAAAATCAGAAAGACCTAAATTCAAGTCTGGCTTGACATATGGCTGTGTGACCCTGGGCAAGTCACTTAACTCCTCAGTATTCTAGGAAGCTCTTTAAGACTTTAAATTTCAGAGAGGGTAACAACTCACAATGGCAGAGGATGGAGTTCTTTATACCAATGAAATTTCAGATCCATTCTTTATTCCTATCTCATTATGGAATATCTGTTTCTATAACATGTGGGATCATTGGCCCTATCAAATATAGATGAATGTTCTTAGGTTAATGAGAAAGGAATTCAGCTATAGACCAACTATAAGAAAATCAGTAAATCCTTTCAAGTAACAAAAGAATCTTCCAATAATCTAACTTTTCACAGCAAGTAGAAAACATGAGAGAAGAGGAAGAAGCATAATCTAAAAGATAATGTATTTATCTAAAAATCAGGATATTTGCTCAGCATCTGGGGTATCTTTGCAAGCATCGCGTCATGGTTGGCCATGGCATGGGGCAGACCAGAAAGGTCCAAGACCAGGAATTGGAGTAGAACCATTACTATGGATCCTCCAGTCAAGTTCCTGAGACTGAGATATTAGGCTAAAACTAGAGGACAGAAACAAAGTTCAGCATATTGAATAGGCAAGGCAGGTTGGCACTCAGAAATCAAACTGGTAAATGAGACATGTAGATATAAAAGTATACAGGCATGTTCTATGGTTCTGTGCTTCTAAACTAGTTATAAAGTAAAAATGTTCACCTATACCAGGAGTTCTTAACCTGGATTCTGAGTACTTGTTTTGTTCTGTTTTGTTTTTATGCAACTATTTTCGATTATAATTGGTTTCCTTTGCATTTTATCTTATGCATTTACAAACATCTATGAAGGGATCCACAGGCTTCACCAGACAGATAAAAGTGTCTAGGACACAAAAAAGATTAAGGATACTCTATGTAAACTATTTACAAAGTAAAAACATTCTAGCAGCCAGCTGCCTGTTTTGTACAGCCAGTGCCCAATGACTAATCTTTTTCCCCCATCAAGTTGACTAAGCTGACTAATTGTTTCTGTACCTTGAACATACAGCCTTAGGAGAAGAGGAAGAGGTGGATTCTATTGCCTATAGATTTAGAAGTGGGAGTGACCTTAGTAGCCATCTAACCCAATTCCTTCTTTTTACACTTGTGAAAACTGAGGCTCAGGTTATATGGTTGCCCCTCATCACATAGCTAAAGTCAGAGGCAGAATTTGAACCCAGATTGTCCTGGTTCAAAGTCCAACACTCTAATCATGGATAGTGCTGCCTGTTTTCGCATCAAGGGAAGTTTTTCAGCTTACCTGGTGAACATCCTAAAGACTGCTAACACATAAATACCATACGCTATTCAGCAGCTAAGAAGAAACAGTTGCTTTTTATCCATGCAATCAGTACTCAAAATGTGTTGTAATAGCCTGTCGAGTACACTGGTAATTCCCTTCTGAATCACCAAGGAATGTAAAGGCAAATTCTGCAATCCAGACAGCTAGCTCACTGAGTCACTATCATTGTAGTCAAAAAGAAAGAAAACAGGGGTAACAAGCAGACTCAGAAACACTCATTAGTAGGATTCCAGACCCAATTCAGTGCCATGTCAAAGGATGTCTTTCTTCTATAATTAAATAACCATGTGCTTTTTAACTTAGTCATATACTCTTTTCCTCCACAGACCTATTCTGATGCCTCATTGTGTCATGGAGGTGACTTATATTCTTAAAGGCTAAATTCTGTCAAGTTCTTCCATGCTGGAAATGCCCCAGCAATAGACTGAGTCTGCCTTTTGAAAGGCAGCCTAATGAAGTTCAGAAATATCTATTAATCCAGGTCTTCCCATCAGTTCACCACGTGGAGTCCACTCAAACTGCTAGGAGCTTTTTATGCTTTCTCCTGGAATCACAAGACTAACAGCAGAACATTCTGGCTTGTCTACCTGTCATCCCTTGCCCCCGTCTCATGACCAGCCCACTTTCTCTTAGGATCATACTTTCATTGATGACAACTTTTATTTCTCTTCTTGAAAGTTCCTGATTGGTTATATGTTGCACCCTGCTCCATTGCTCACAGACATCTCTCCATTGACCTCTGTGTGATATTCATTTCCAATTCTTTGAAGACTGTTATATTCCATGTTTCTCTGCCAAACATCAACACCAGTCAAATGCTAGTATTACAAAAAAATGTTTATGGGAGAGACTTGGGGTCAACTATTCCTTCATTCCACCTCGACCAGATGTAAGGATGGTTATATACTAGAACTCCCTACAACCCACAAAAGTATTCTTCTCTAGTAGGGAATTCTGACCTCACAATCAGACTTTTCTATCATTTCCCCTTTCCCTATGTTTCACCCTTCCTAAACCTATTGTTCAATCTCACTGAGACAAACAATTTCTCCACACCCAGTACCTTCTTAGGCCATTACCCCTGCTCTAACTTCACTTTGCTCCCTCTCCATTCTTACTGCAATAGTCATTTCAACTCTATACTGTCCTCTATTTTGAATCCCTTGCTACCATATCATGTCTTTGTTCCTGTCTTGTAAAAATTCAGGGTTGGGTTTCTTTTACTGTTTGCCTCCTCCAATTGCACTCATAAACTGCTGAACATGGCAGGAGAAAGTCCCAATACTGTGTCAACTGGGTACATTTCAGATTTGTGCTGTCTAATCTTCAACTGGGTCCTTTTTTAGGAACACAGTCCTTTTAATCTTCCCTAATTGATCTCCTCAAAGAATACTTTGATACTGGATACTTTCTCTGTGGGTGGTCATGGCACAACTCTTTCTTGGTTCTCTCCCTATGGTATCTGACCACTTTCCCTCTTCACTGCGGATATTTCTCCAAGATCAGCCCTAAATCTTCTTCTCTATTCCCTCTCCTCTCTCTCTTAGGTTACCTTATCAGTGCTCATGGTTTAATTCTAATCTCAATGCAGATGACTCCCAGGGCAATATATATCCAATCTCTTCCCTAAGCTTCAGTCCCACAAGACTAATTAATTACCAATTGGATACTTGAAACTAGATAACCTGAAGACATTTCAAATTTAACATGTCCCAAAATGAATTCATTATCTTTTCACTTAACCCACTCCCTCTTTCATATTTTCCTGTGTTGAAAGCTCCATCATCATATCAGTCTCCCAGGTTTATTTCTTCAGCATTATCAAAAATCCTTTATTCTCTTTTATCCTATATATTCCATCAGTTTCCAGATCTTGCCATTTCTAACTTTATTACATCTGTCCCATCTGACTCCTTCTCTCTAGTCACAGGATTGCTACTTAAGTTCAGGACCTCATTACTTCTCTACTAGATTACTGAAACAGCCTACTAACTGCTTTCCCTACCTCAAGTCCCTACCCACTCTAGTCCATCTTAAACACTGCTGCCAAAGTAACTTTCCTTAATCATAGACTATGGCCATGTGACTCCAATAATCCATACCACTGGGTTTCAATTGCCTTGAGGATAAAATATAAACTCTGGTTAGCTTATACAATCGAGCTCCAGCTTACGTTTCCATCCTCATTAGATATTACTTCCCCCTCTTACATTCTGTCATCCACCCAAACTGGCCTTCTCTCAGTTTTTTACATATAATACTATCTCCTCTTTCCATACCTTTGCATTGGCTCATCCTCCTTACCTGGAACACACTACTTCCTCTCTTCCAAAGTCTCTATTTTCCTTTAAAACACAGCTCAAGCACCACCTCCTATATAAAGCTTTTCATAATTCCCCAACTGCTAATGTCCTCCCTCCCAAAGTACCTTATATTTAATTACTTTGCATTTTTATATATTCACTTTATATTTATACTGTATATCTATCTATGTTACTTGTCCTGACACATAGTAGCTGTTTAACAAATACTTTTTTTTTTTTGCTTAATTCATTGAATGAATCCAGAAAAGATAATTCCAGTCCTTTGCTTAGGAGTAGAAGTTTAAGAAGAGTGAGAACAACAGACAATGTTTAAAGTCAAAGGGCCTTGTAGTAAGACAGATTGGGGATAGAAAATATCATTATCTGGATTATCCAAAGTGTAATCTGTGAATTTGTTATATAAGTGAGAATGCATTTAAAAGTTCCTAATGGACATAAACTCTGTGTATGTGTTCCATCCAAAATAACATTCAACAACAGAACCATTTTTGTGGCATGAATCCATATTCATTTAAAATTCACACATAGCATCCATCAGGAAATAAGTGTCAACTTCAGCAACCCTGATGAATACAAAGAAAATAGAAAGCAAGGTAGTAAATCAGAACAGGACAGAAATAGCTAAGAAAGTGATAAGGATCAATGGCCGATTCTCTTTTCTCTCCATGCCTTACCATCTCTCTGGAAAACATTCTCTTATTTGAAAGGAGGTGGATGGGAAGGACACATAAAAGGAAGAAAATTAATCAGATATGAAAAAAAGCTTTTGAAAATTGGTTAAAAAAAGTTTACCTTTATCTTTTTATGCCTTCTTGGAATTCCTCCTTGCCACCATTTTCTTTCATTTTAAAGAATCTAAAAGGATTTGAGTTTAACTTAACCATATAAAATATGTTAAGATACATCTCACACAGGAGAGCCTTCATCATAATTTACTTACTGTGTCCATGTATTCTGATACTAAAATTGTTGGGGAAACAAAATTATCCTGAAATTAACCATAGCTAAGCTCTTGAGCTTCTTGTATTTCCAAAAAGAATTATTTGACAAAGCTGTATTTCTTATTTGAAGAGATATTTCTGTTTTTACCATTGCTATAATTTTTAAAGGAAGAAATTAAATTCTGGATTAACAAAAAAAGACACTACTCACCTGTTGGGAGGTGCAGGGTAATATTGTTACAAAAATCTGTGAAGCAGCATTCAGTCTTTGTAATGTTGTTAGAGCTGTGACAGAAGACTTGAGCATTGAGCTCTGGGAGGGACACGCAGGATTTGATCACCTCTTCTCTGCCATTTGTTAGCATGACTGAGGCCCAACATGCTCCTTCAGTCTGGCAGGTAAAGTTTGAATATTCACACAATAGACACACACACTTCAGTCCTGAAAGGGGGAACAGAGAAGCTTTAAAACACAGCAAATCAGACACAAATGTGCCTCACAATATGGAAAGCCGAAGTGTTGAAAACCACAGTGACTGACTTTACATGTTGGAAGGTGGACTTGTTTTTAAAGTACCTGCTAACTGGCTTAAAACATAACCTTTTTATGTCATGGCCCTCTTTGACAGCTGGTAAAGTCTATGGACCTTTTTTCAGAAATATATTTTTAATTGCACAGAAGACATAAGATTTGAAAGAAAACAATTATATTGAAATGTAATTATTTAATTTTTTTTAAAGAAGGGAAAAATCCCAGGTTAAGAAACCCTGTTTTAGATAAATGTTTTTCCCCATTTCTTCATTTACCACCTTGGTGTTCCTATGAGCAGCTTTTTTTTTTTTAAACACCATTCCTGTTTCACTGGTATTGGAAACTCCCAAATAAGGAAAATCCTTCCAGCAACGCAGATCACAAGTTTTCCTTTAGAGTTCCCTGGGGCACTGAGAAGTCAGGTGACTTGTTTAGGGTCAAACAGCTAATGTTTCAGAGGTAGGACTTGAACCCAGTCCTCTTTGACATGGGTGGGGCGGGGCAGCTCTATATCTACTATACCTCTCTCTACCTACAAACCAACATCCTGTTCATTTATTCACTATGAACATACTTGTTAACTTTTCCCATATTTATGTGTCCCCATTTCCTTTGGCCCAAATCAACGTGCTCAATTCTAAGTCACCAGCTTTCATGAAGTGCTAGGAAACAGTATCTGAGCAACCAAAGTGAGATGCACCCCATTCTGTTGTGGAGGGGTTTGACTGAAGATTTCCCAGCCAACACACTCTGTTTAATTGTGCCTTTGCTGCTTTTCCTTTAGAACTTTCACCAAGGAGGCCAAACATTTTTTTTAAAAAGCCCTAGGTATGCTGCATTTATATTTTGTGCCTTATTTTGGTATTATTTTTATTTTAGGAGATTATCAGCTTTCATTGAAATATTCAATTTCATTTTTAAAAGTTTTGCAACATTTATAGGGAACTTGAACCCAGGGTCCTCTGATTCTAGAGCCAGTACTCCTTCTATTTTATTATGCTATCTAAATTATCATCTTTCAGTTGCTAATTATTAATATTGTGCAGAAGTTTTACTGTATGAATATGCATTTAAATAAATGAAGCAAATAATAGGCAGTGAAAAAGCCTTAGTACCTTTATGCTTGGATTTGTAAAGAAAAATAAAATATGGAGTGATCAGAAAGTTATCTATTTTTCTTTTTTACAATTCCACTTGTCAAATAAAAATCCATTTTTATGAAAAATGCATCAACAGCTACATAATACAATCAGAAAGTAATGAAATCAGAAAATAAGACAATTTATGGTCAATATTAATGCCAGAAATATTTAAGAAAGCAAAACAACTTAGCAGCTACTTCCTATCCCACCAAGATCAATATTAATGTATTCCTTATTTGATCAAAACTTATGAGCAGCATCAGGGTACAACCTTACACATACTCACTAACAAAGACCAGGAATATTCCAATCTTACAAAAATCCATATTATCTCAAGATTCTTCTTCCCAAACATGAAAGACTCCAGAGGTCCCATATAGAAAGGAAATATGCAACTGAATGAGCTAATAGTCTGGAGGCTCTCTAGAATACAGACACTATCAAGGTAATAAAAATTCTACCTTGATAGAATGCTGGGTACAGAGAGGCTGGTAACCAGCACTCACTCAACAAACATTTATTGAGTGGCTATTATTTGCAAAGCAATGTGTACTCTAGAGCTGTAGGGGATACAAATATGAATATTTCAAAGTACCTGTCTTCAAAGAAGCTATCAATCTAGTAGACACAACTCTGCCTTGATTAAACACAATCAAGATATACTAGAAGTATTTAAATCACAGAGTGCCTTTCACACATTTATCTGTAGAATTGTCAATATTCATTCCACAATTGAATTGTGTGAATAGTCCACATGTGCTGTGCATCTAAAGAAAGGAAGCTAGTTGACCTAGATTGCACTGATTGGGGTTTCTGTTTCTATAATTTGTTGGATTGTTGATCTCCCTGGTGTGGGCATTCTCTCCATCAGTGTAGAAAGCAATCCATCCATGCCTTCTCATCCTGGGCAATTCTTTTCTAAGTCTTCCCATAAATCTTCCAAAGAGGATCTACTCAATGCACTAAAGACTTTTTTCTAAAGTTTTTGTTTTGAACGTTCCATGAATACAAATACTGCACCAGGGCTATGTACTCACCACCATTCACTTTCTCACTACATTCTGGGCCTACATGCTTTTCTATTCATACATTTCTTTGGTGATATCCTTGGTACTACTTCTTTCATTTATGGCATCATTGGCAATGTGCTGAAACTTACACACAGTCACTTTGCATTTCCCTGTTGCCTTTTAAATCACTCACTATTTTGAATCTTCAGTGAGAGTGATGTTCAATGCTTCACAATCATATATCATCACAAGGAAACTAAAGTGTTAAAAGAAATGGGATTTTGTCAAAAAGCAGTTTGCTTTCATAGAAAATACTATTTAATTTCCCAAGTATAATCTAGCTCGCTCTTCCTATTCAGTTTTAGACCCAGTTAATTGTCTGTTTGCAATGCCTCTCTAAAGTTTATTACTGATGGATTAACTCAATGGGCTGCCCACCCAACTAAATGTCATAATGTGGGCAATAGGTATTTTTTGTCTATTTGATTTTTTTTCCTAGAGAGAACTGTTAGGTTGATCTTTTATATGATTGGAGATTTAATTAGAGAGGCCCTGTAGTATTCAGGGCTTGATTCTATCAACAAATAGTTTGTTGAGGAGGACCTCATCATCTCCAGGAAATACCTCTTCCAATTCAGACTCTGCATAGGACATATTTTCATATTTTTATATATACTTTATATATACTTTCATATTTTTATAATTTTCTATCAATCGTATGACTGTGGAGATCCAGTGTACTTTAAAAAATCAACTGTAAAAACCTGCCTGTTCTCTCATTTTCATCAAGCATACTCTCAATAATGTATACATGGTTCTTCTTATAAAAGTTTTTAAAGATGAGAAGGTAGGTAGCTGGCATTTCTATGGCTTTAAGATTTGCAAAGCACTGTGTGTATATCATCTCATTTAATCTTCACAACAACCCTGTGAGATAGGTGCTATTATTATCCCCATTTTACAGATGAAGGAACTGAGCTGAGGGAGGCAAACTGACTTGCCCAGGGTAACATAGGCATTAATTACCTGAGGCAGGATTTGAACTCATCTTCCTGATTACAAGTCCAGCATTCTCTCCACTGAAATAGCTTGAATAGCCTCAAATGAATTGGTTGTTCTTGATGTCTTCTCAACTTCCAGAGTGATTTCCTCCCCATTATGTTGATATTCTTTCCCTTCAGATATCTTGAAAATCAGTCCTTTCAATGTCTCAAAACTGTGTTGTCTCTAGTAAAGATGTGTGTGTATGTGTATTTAGTCTAATTTAGCTACTCCTGCTACCCTTATTTTCTTAAATGCTATTTCTACTTCATTATACAATACAATCTTGAAGTGTTAAAATTCAAATACTTATCATGTCTCTTCACTTCTTAAGAAGATTACTTACTACCTAAGGTGTTTTGGAGTACTTTTGGCCTCTTTGTTGTGGTAACCACCTTTTATATGTTAAATCCCTCTAAAAGTAGAAATAAAATCAAACCTTCCACTTGAAATATTCCCACCCCCCAGCCAGGTCTGCAACTGCCTATACTCTCTATTTCTCATCTTTATCCTTAACTAGGCAATGATCTCACTGTACCCAGACAGCTCAGAAATTACTCCCACACTAATAACCAGTCATTTCCTGTATGTTGTTATAGTCCACTTAACTTTTTGAGATGGTATCATAGGTTTGTTATGTCCAACACTTCCCTACTCATTTTGAGGAAAATATTTATCATATGCAGGTATGAAACTGATGAGTAGTTTACAAATCTTTGGCTCTTCCATTTATTTCTTAATTCTGAACTATATTTCTAACATATTTTGCCACCTTCCCCAGTGCCTACCTTTGTACCCCACTATCAAGGTATACATTGATTTGGTTGAAGATTCTTGCCGTCTTTCGCAGAATTACACTATTTCTTCATCCTCTGCAACAGACTTGGACGCATAAACTGCAATTTCTTCACAATGGTCTCTTTTTGCTTATGCTCATAACAAGTACTGTGAGACCAACATTACAAAATATCCCATGAAATGATATTCTTCATTCCACTGGGACAAATGATGAAACCAATCATAACAAGTCCTTTATTTGTTCACCAAGCAGAACCTATAAGCAGTGTTTCCATTAATTTGTATCTTCTTTATGTCTTCTTACCTCATTTAAAGCAAGAATAGAAATACTGATACATTTGTTTCTTTGGTTAGATTTCAACTTTTTGGCCACTAGACAATGGTCTTTTATTTAGAATAACAAGAGTTATATTCATGTTTATAGACATAGTATGTTATGAATATCTAAATGATATGAATATCTAAATATCTAATCATATCTAAACATTAAATGATACTTACCACCCTCTGACTCCCTTTCTGCTATTCTACCATCACAATCATCATGGCAAGGGCACAATGAAGCTGTGCAGTGTCACACAGCTAGTAAATGTCAAGTGTCAGAGGTCGGATTTGAACTCAGGTCCTTTTGACTCTAGAACCAGTGCTTTATCTACTGTGCCACCTATCTGCCCCAGGAGTATTTCAATATTCCTTTGGCGTTTTTTTCTTCATCAAGAAGTTGTCATTTTGAATATTGTCATAATAACTAATGAACTAATTGTTCCCTTTCCCCCCCTTTCTATTCTATAATATTAACTACATACATTGACCTCATCATCCAACCTAGGTGCATGTTCTCCCTCTTATCTCTAAGG